TAAAGGGGCTGAGGATGTAACTAATGGTAGGATTTAATCCCCAGTACCACAAAAGAAAAATAAACAAACAACCTCTGGGGCTGAGGTTGTGGCTCAGTGGTAGAACACTTGCCTGGCATGTGTGAGGCCCTGGGTTCAATCTTCAGCACCATAAATAAATAAATAAATAATAAAATAAAGATCCATTTACAACTAAAAAAAATATTTTTTAAAAAAATGACTTTTTTCTTCCCTCCTCTCATTCAAGAATTCATTCATTAAATATTTATTGAATACTGGTTTTTGGTATCCTAGAGGGGGTCCTGGACCCAATGCCCTAGAGACACCAGGTGACAACTGTACATCATTGGTTATTGATGAGTGCTAAGGAGAAAAATAAAAGAGGGGAGGAGGTAAGAACCATTGAAAGGGAGGTTGAAGGTTTGTTTTTTTTTTTTTCTTTTAATAGGGTGGCTAAGGAAGTCCTCACTGAAAAGTCCTCTTTGAATAATATATCAAAGAAAGTAAAGGGCTATAGGGAAAACATTGCCAGCATAGGAGTGGCAGGTGCAAAGGCCCCGAGATACATACATGCCTGACACATTTGAGGACCAGCAATAAGTTCATCATGGTTGCAGCTGAATAAACAAATTGACTGACAGGCGATGAGGCGGAAGAGATAATCAGTGTTAGGTCAGGTAGGTCCTGTAGGGAGGAGACTTTTCTATAAATGAGAGAGGAGACCCAGAAGCTCTGAGCAGTAGATCCCCCTTGCCACTGTGTGGAAATCCCCAGAAGTAGGCAGGGAAGGTACAGGAAGACCAGTACAGCAGGACTTTCCTACTCTTCTGGTCAAACCTCACTTGGGCTCTGTCCCAGCTTTCTTCAGGGGCCCCCTTCTTCCATTCTCCTCCTTTCCCCCCTCATCTACCTCATCTAACTCTTGGAGTGCTTCCAAATGCCTGCCCACACCTTTCCTTCCAAAAAGGAAACCATTCTAGCAGGACATGGTGGTTCACAACTGTCATCCCAACTACTTGGGAGGCTGAGGCAGGAAGATCGATGGGAGTCCAGGAATTTGAGGTCAGCCTGGGTTGCACAGCAAGATCCCAAAATAGAACAAGCAAAAATTCAATGGAAAGCTTAAACTGATAATCTCCACAATATGGCCTCACCTCCCCTTCCCAGCTCTATCCCCCAGTCCCTGCTACACATACTCAACACACCAAGTGCAATAAACTTATTCAGCATTTTCAAATACGCAGGCACAGTCCCCTTCTGTCCTTTTGTTCTCTCTGCCTGGAACCCGCTCTCTACAAGGGTCATCTGAAGCCCCTCCTGCTCCAGGTAACCTTTCCCAATTCCTCAGTTGGTCCTCCACACCGTGTGTCTATCCTTTTTATGGCCCTTAAAATATTTCCACCATTATCGTCCTGTCTCCCTCTGTGGACTCCAAGCTCTCTGAAGACAAACATGGCTCCCTCATTTTATAATGCCCATGGCATGGAGAATGGAACCCTCCAGAAGAACGACTACACTCTGAGTTTAGTGATGCTGACGTTATCCTGTAATGGACAAAAATCTGTAACTTTCAATGATTTCTTTAATTTCAGTTCACGGCCTCAAACTATCTTATTTAGTTAAGCTATAAAAATATTGCACTCTAACACCGACAAAACTCTAGCAGAGAAGCACGATCTGTTATATTTTGTGCCAAATTAATAACCCTAAGCAATTTGGCTTAAAAGATTTTTAAAAAAAAGACAAAAAAGGAAAATTTTTCTTATGGTTCACTGTCACCAGAAGATTTCTATATAGAAAGATGCCCAGTTAAATTTAGAAGGCTTTAAAACACTGGACCTCAAACCATAGGAACACTGATCCGCTTAAATATTTTAAGTGTTTATTTTTATTGGTAGGATTTTGATAGAATCAATGTTAATCTCTTTTTGGAAAGGTAATGCAGACACACTGAGAATTCGACTTCACCCTTTGTGGTGTATACACAGCCTTACTCCTGCATAATTTATAGTAAGAATCTGGAAACACTGAGTCAGATTTTCCCATCATCTGTCACGAAAATGTGGAAGCAGGAAGTGGAAAGTACAGGGTGTTTTCTTCCAGCATCTCAGCAAGAGAACTTCCAAAAAGGGAACCATCCTAGCAGGACATGGTGGTTCACGACTGTCATCCCAACTACTTGGGAGGCTGAGGCAGGAGGATCGATGGAGTCCAGGAAGTTTGAGGTCAGCCTGGGTTGCACAGCAAGATCCCAAAATAGAACAAGCAAAAAGACAAAGGCATCATTCTGTATAGCCCAAATAATTTTCTTCTTACAGAAGTGTATGTCACTAACCCAGCTATGGTTCCACATCCTCTTTAAAATAGTTTGAATTGATGTCCAAATATCACAAAAAAACATGAAGACCAAAAGAAGCTCTGTTCCAGAAACAGAAGGAAAAAGAGGATCTGAAACTCAAACTCAGATTGAACTCAAAATGAAACTTAGCAATCATTCTTTAATGTAAGATCTTCATTATGAATCTCAGCCATGTAATACAAATTATATCAATAGTGGAATAATCCCCAAGGATTTACTTTGTCCTTTTAAAAGTCAGATTCAATATTAGACTGTTACTTGAGGATGATATGCATTCCATACTCTAAAAGAAATCAATGTGTACAAGATAAACATGAATTAATTTTAAATAATGTAAATTGAATATTCCAAAATCGTCAGTATGTTTGAAGCATTGTTAGCAAAAGATTTTCAGCATAACCTCATTAAAGCAGTATTTCTTTCTAATGAGATAAAATGACTATTGAAGTTCCAGTCTAGATCTGATTAGAGAATCCAGCACAGACGGAAGTAATAAAATAGATCAGCTCTGAGTCCCAACCAGGAATTTTAGCCAAGAGGAATCTATCATCATAATCCAGGGTCAGGGTGAAAAGGAGAATTTACCAGAAATACTAACTAGAAACTGATTTTACAAACCAGAAAGCCATTACCGTTCAAAGACTTCTCTTATTCTCTCCTGTATCAGAAAATATCCTGAACCATCAAATTCAGTGTAGAAAAGACTAGAACAAGAATCACTAGCAGGACAAGAAGCTGCCCCCCCCCCCAAAAAAAAAGCACCATAAGATTAAATTTCCAAAAATCACTTCTGAATTCTGTGAGGTCTTTTCACCATTGTTGACCCTGTGTATCTAAATATGGGTCCTGCAGAAGCACGCTCCCAGACAAGGATTCAATGCCAAGTGATTGGTTGGGGAGGTTCAGGGAGCGCCAGGCAGGGAATGAGGTGGCCATGGTGCTTGAGAAGTGAGCAGCCTTGAAGGATATAAAAAACACCTCAAAATCGCCTCATCCAAGAGCTGAGTGTTTACTGCCATTTAGTTAAGACTTCCTTGTCTAAAGTGCATCCTCCAAAAGAGTTTCCACCCCATTGACACTTTTGATATCTGACATCAAATACCTTTTTTCCACAATCCATTCATATATTTTCACATTCGAGTCATCTACTCCTAAACTACAAAGCATACCATTTTATCTTACCTATGCCTTTATGTCTCCCTTGAGTCTACTTTATATTCTCAATAAATTAAGATTCTAGAGACATTTGTCATGTTTTAAATTCTTTAACATCAACTTTGTTATCAATTAAGTTGTTTAAACAAACAAACAAAAAAATGCCTGTGAGAGTAGCCATAATGGTCCATGATACATCCATGAAAAATCGTGGGCTGGTCTACACGGAAAGAGCTCAGACCCTACTAACATCCAGAGAATGCTTTATGTGATTAGAGTATAAGAGGACATTTTGGCAGTTCCAAAAGTACTGTCACAGAATGGGGAGGGAGAGGGCCAAATTAAAAATTAACCAGCAAGAAGCTTTTTCAATGAAATGTCACTTGACTTATTTTCAGCAAATAAACAGTCTTTTAAAAATGGTCCAATCTAACCATCATTCCTCTTGGCCTGCATGGACAGGTCTACAATAAATTAGTAACTTTGTTCTATGCCTGAAAGTTTTCTCTTCAGTCTTACTGAATACATAGTAAAAAGGAAATGATAGAAGCCTAGGTAAATTTTATCAATCTTACTAACATACACACTTGTTAAATATTATGCTTTATAAGTTATACAAAAAAATTAATTCAGAAAATAGGCCTAAATGAATGGAAGGGTAACATCATAGGTTTCTTGGATTAAAGGGACTCACTACCCTTCAACAGATACACTAAATACTGAGCAAAGATTGCCTGGTTAGTACCAATTTGAATTGATTAGGTTTTAGATTGGCTAATTTAACTTTTATTAACTCATTATTTTAAAAGAAATAAAAATTAAAATAAAAAAACAAACAACAAAAAAAAAAAAAACCCAGATCAGTGATTTTTTCCATCACTGAAAATTTCTGGATGGTTTTTCACTGGGTTTGGAGGCCCAGCTATCCTTCTCCAAGGATTGGACATTTGACAAAGCCATTTTGGAATGAGAGTCCTTTTTAGTGCTGGATCTTATCCTTAGGTAAGAATCAGGCCACATTACCAAACTACCTTTCCCCTGAAACAGACCATCTATTTCACAGTGCATTCAGTATTTTAAAAAGCAGACATCTCTACTTACGGTAAATGGTACATCTAAACATCTGTATCTTTATGAACTAAATCAGTGCTTCTCAAGCTATCTGATAGAAAGAACCTTTCCATTATCACTATTTCCAATCTGTCATCTACAGATACTTTTGCAATATGCATTCATGACAAATTATTATAAAATTGATCTTTTAAAAATGCAACACATAAGCCCAACTGTTTAAGTATTATTAGATGCAACAGACGTAAAATTATCTTGCCAAATTTCTAAAAACATTTTGCATCTCTTTCTCTTCATTTCAATACTTAACTGGCCACAGGCCAGAAACAGATACTGTGGGTCGTACTGGGACCACACTTTGAGGAGCACTGATCTGAAATACCATGCATGTATTTATTCAAAAGATATACTTTACCTCTGACATTCTTTCCAAATCCCATTGAAGACACTTTTTTGTCCACTTGTTCACTATTGTTTGATTTCTCCTTCATAACATCATCATCGCTAGCAACATCAACAGAATATTTTTTCTTTTTCTTTTTCTTGTGCCGAGGTGGAAGCTTTTTTGGAAAAGTAAACATTGGGAATATCACAAGAAACATTGCAATGGCACAAAGGAGGAATCCACTCCACCTAAAAAATTGGGAAATGTGAATAGCATTTATGGGTTTTGCTTTATGAGAATAAGTTACCAAAGTAGAAGTTTGTGGTGATAAAAATTCTCCAGAAATTTTTCATTTACCTTCATCAATTGTAAAGCAATAAAAAAATTGGACAAACTGAAGAAATAAAGGGATTTTCCCTTTCTGTGGTATATGGGAACTCCACCCAATAATTACAATAGTATGATATAAATAAATACTATCATCAACAGCCTGGTTGGAATTTCACTCAATTTAAGTATTTTTGTGCAGCCATGTGTTAGTTCTGCCAACATTGTTAGTCCTGATAAAATGTGTATTTTAAAATAAAACACTAAATCATAAATTTAATAGAAAAATTATAGACACTCTATTGCATATTTTGTAGACCTTAGCAGAAAAGCATTAATAACTTGTTCTAAATGTATTTTTTGCCTGTTTGGTACTAGGAAGCGAACCCAGGGCCCTGTGCATGCTAAGTACTCACTCTAACACTGAACTACCCCCCCTCCCACAGCCCAAGACACAAGGGTATTTTAAATTGCTGATGGTATTCAAATATTTTCTGCAGTACTTAAGAATGTATTAAACCCCACTTAGCTGCTCCACATAACATTTAGCCAAGCATGAGGGCCACCAAATCATGTAGACTTGATCCTTTTCTTGAAGAACTTACAACTTAGGTATAAGCAAGCCAAAAATATAAGAATCTCCAAGATATGCAAGAATGCATACAATTTAGTGTTCATCATAAGGTTTAGATTATGAATCCTATAAAAGTGCAGAGAGGGAAAATAAATGTGTGCCAGAAAATTTCCCAGGAGATATTGAACTTGAGCTACATAGAATTCCATCTAGAAATTCATCTGAAGTTGCCACATTGCAGAGAGTTCATGAGGCATTCCATGTATAAAACCCAAATTCTAGTCCTGTATTAGAACCAAGTGTTACCACCTGGGGTTTCTTACCTGCACAATTCCCCAAGGGACAATTTCTCAGTCCCCTTCAGTCTTTCCTTAGCAAGCAAAAGTCCCTGGTCCTACCTAACAGGGTTGCCACCTCTAACCAGAATTCCTCCACTCTAAACTCTGCTCTTAAAGCTTCCAAGTTTATAAATTCTCAGACCTTGTCCTCTGTTTTAACATGTACCTATCAAAATGCAAGCAGGATTCTAAGCACTAATGATGTGTTCAACCCAGTAAAAATACAGATTAATTGCAAGGTGAAACTCATCTTTTAAAGAAGTTTCTATTAAAGAGCTATTATCAGTTGGCAAAGGTCATTAGTTGGGAGAATGCTAGAATCTGTTATTAATCCAGTGTATTAGTTTCAAATTTAAAAGTATATCAAGCCAGGTGCAGTGGCACAAGCCTGTAATCCCAGCAACTCAGGAGACTGAGGCAGAAGGATAACAAGTTCAAAGCCAGCCTTAGCAATGGTGAAGCATTAAGCAACACAGTGAGACTCTGTCTCTAAATAAAATACAAAATAGGGCTGGGGATGTGGCTCAGTGGTTGAGTGCCCCTGAGTTCAATCCCCAATACCCACCCCCAAAATCAAATAAAAATTTTAAGATGATCAGAAAAAGATTTAATTTTGAGAAGATGGCTCAGAACAGACTTCTAGCAATCTCAATTACTCAGAATATTATCACCAACCTAGTGCCTGACACAGATTAGTTACTCAAAAAATTGTTAAATAACTATATTGAAAGAGAGAGGTTTTTTAAAAAAAGAAGGTCATTTGTCTTAAGGGAACATAGCTATGACAACATCTGGCCTCTGAACACTTGGCCACTTAGAGGCCCTTGCCAACCAGCACCTCACCTTTTACATTTACCCTTCTGGAATCTGTCTCCACAAACTCCACATTGAAGTTCCCTAAACCCCTTTGATCACTAGGCCTCTCAAGCTCTCTACACGAGATGGCAGGCAGAGGAGCACAGGCCACAGTTTATGAGCTTTGGTTTCAGACAGACCTGGGTTTCCATTTTTATCAATTACTAACTATGAAATCTTGGGGAAATTTCTTTGCTTTTCTCAGGGCCTTATGCATGCTAAGCTCTAGGGTAATAAGTGGTTTGGGGAGTCCTAAAATTTAAATAAGAGGTATATTTAAATAAGGTATATGATGGAACTAACAAAATGCCTGCTTCCAGAGCTAGGGTTGTGGCTCAGTGGTAGAGCACTTGCCTAGAATGTGTGAGGCACTAGGTTCGATTCTCAGCACCATATATAAATAAATGAATAAAATAAAAGTCCATCAACAACTAAATATATATATTTATATATTTAATGCCTCCTTCCAAACCAGCAACCAATTCATGGTGGCTAGTTTGGTTTGGTTTTGTATTCATGTGGATCTGTACTCAGTCTTACTGCCCACTCCCTCCCAGTCATTGATCTAAAAATACATGCAAACAGTGAAGCTTCACTCTGAATAGCCCAAACTGAGAGCATATAACAGAAGGGGAAGAATCATAGCAAACAAATAAAAATGACATAAAAGTCTGAGGTCATACTGAAGCAGAGCAAACCAGCCCACATTCTTCAACAGTCTCCAGAAACATCAGTATGACACATGATATAATGATGGACACTAACGACATCACTAAAGAGGACACTGAGAAAAGTTGAGTAGGACAAGATAGTGTGTGTCATATATATGGGAACGTCACATCAATAATAGCTGATATTGAAAGGCCAGGGTGTCTTAATCCCTTTCATAAAGCATTACACAGTCCATTCACTAACGGGAGTCACCAGTGGATTGGCTGAAAGCTCTGTCCTAGAATCAGTTTCTTATCCCAACACTCTCTAATTCTGAAGTTAGAACAAATAATTCAAATCTGTGAGCATCCATTTTGTCACCTGCAAAATGGGCATAATATTAGTGACTACATATATTTGCTAAGCGCTTGGTATAATGCTTGATACACAGTAAATAACCAATAAATATCAGTATTATTCCTTCATTCACTCCTTCCCTCACTCTTTCTTTTAAATATTTTATTATTAGTTGTTGGTGGATCTTTACTTATTTTTATATATTTATTAAAAACCTATTGTTGCTGCTAAGCATTGTGCCAAACAACTACGACTTTATTCAAAATAGAAGTCTGTTTCAAACAGGATTACACAACTTAAAAAATTCAAATTCATTTTCAAGTAGATCCTTATTATATAGTTCTAAGTTGATAATCTTTATCATTTTCTAAATATTTATTTTTAGTTATATGTGGGCACAATATCTTTATTTATGCGGCGCTAAGGATTCAACCCAGTGCCTCCACATGCTAGGCGAGAGCTCTACCTCTGAGCCACAACCCCAGCAATCTTTATCATTTACATAACTAATATTGAGCCATTGAAATGATATAATTGCTTGAAAATTGATTTAAGGACTGAATATCTAGCACATATGGGGTGCCCAGGGCAGGAACCATTAAGAGCCCTCCATGTACAAACTCATTTGTTCCTCACAACCCTATGAAGTAGGTACTGTAACTATCTCCTTTTATGAATTAAAAAAAAAATGAGGCACAAAGAAGTAAAAAGAAGTAACTTCCTCAAGATGACATAGCTTCGCCTCATTCAAAGTTGAAGTTCTCCTCCTGAATCCTGGACATATTTGGCAGGACAGTTAAGGTCCCTCAAGTGCACACAGGATTTCAATCCAGGCGAGTACGCCTTTCAGATCTTCAAGTCACTCCAATCTGCTCCCTCTGGACTAAACGTCTCCTAGAAAACTTTTAATTGACAGCATAAAGCACTAGTATGACTGAAGCCCCTGCTGTCCCTCCTTCTGCCCCTGAGTTGGTGGTCCTCCTCTTTCCCTCTCACTGTTTCCTTATCACCAAGCCCTTCTTAGGACATCTAAATAGAACACAGATTATACATTGGATATTCATATGTATATTTTAACAATCTAGTTTTATAACAATAAAAAAAATCCCTACTCTGATTTATTTCACAACTGCAAAGAAAACAGCCAAAATCAAAATTTTCACTTTCAGTCAAAAACTTAAAAGCCCTGTGTGATGTTCCTTTCAATGTCAGGGGAACTCCTCTCTCTATGATTTGAAACATTCTAGCAGGCCAAGTTTGTCTGTATCTTAGCACTTGCAGTTTCATTGAGGATTACTAGTGAAATTAGAAGCAGCATAGAAATTGATATTTGTTAACTTCTTTGAAAATAGTGGTAAACATTATTCCCACCAATCTCAGAGTTATGAGCTATTATTCTATAATGAAACAGAGAGAGAAAAAGTATACAACTCTTTTGAAAGTAATTTGTTGACAGATAATTTCTAATAATGCAGTATTCTCTTTGCCATAAAATAAAATTTTCTTATCGATGTGTACCTATTTCTAACCCATGTGAAATAAATTCAGGACACCAATATTTTCAGTCAGTGCTTTTGTAATTACAAAGAAATAACTGATTATGTCCAAATGAAGGACTGTGAAGAACTCAAACATAACCCTGGTCATTTAGATAAATCACAGAACACTCAAAGTTGAAGCTCTCCTCCTGAGCAGGACAGAAGAAGGTCCACCTGGTGAGAAAACAGCTAAATCTCCAGGATATATAAGGAAACCAAATACCACCAAAGAGAAAAGATTTGATGAGCACAGAAGCAAGACTGAAATTCTGGGCAGTGTGGAAGGGTTATAAAACAAAAATATAAATACAATGAGAAAGCATAGAAGAAGTCATTTTTCAAAGGCACAGAAAAGATAATGAAAGATACAACTAAACAGTAAAGTCCCTTCCCAGCCACAGCAGCCCTGCTCGTACACTCTGCTGTAAAGGAAACAGCCCAATCCAGGAGAATGTCACTGAAGTGTCTGTATTAGTTTCCTGTTGCTGCTATAACAAGTAACCACACACTTAGTGGATCGAAAAACCCAGGTGGATTATCTCATGGTTCTGGAGGTCAGAAGTCTATAGGGGCATTGGTAGGATTTTATTCCTTCTAAAGGTTCTAGCTAAAGAAGAACCTATTTACTTACCCTTCTAGCTTCTGGAATCTACCTGCTTTCTTTGGCTCACAAAACCTTTCTCAATCCAAAGTACATCACTTCAACCTCTACTTCAGTCATCTTCTCTCCTTCTCTGACTTTGCTCCTATTGCCTCCCTCTTTCCTTTAATTAATAATGGGCACACCCAGAACACCGAAAATAATCTCCTCATTTTAAGATTCTGAACTTGATCACCTTGACAAGGTACCTTCTGCCACATAATGTAATATATTCACGGTTCTGGGGATTAGGAAATGGCTTTCTTTGGGGAGTTATCATTCTGTCTACCATCTACTGTCAGGTGACTTAGGCTATATTTTTCATCTCTTCAGTAGGGAAATTTAAATACAAGAGTTTTTATGACTAAATCATTAGTAAAAAGTGAAATACAAAATTTAGAAAACAATCTTACCAGTTTCCAATGAAACGAGGGTCATTCTGGTCAAGGTGAACAGGATTTCTGGGATCAACATAAAAACCAATAAGAAGTCCACCTAATAAATATCCCACTGCAGGGCCAAGTGCTCCCATGACATACATGATGGCTGAGAAGACAGAAAGGGAAATAAGAAATATAGCAACATTTCATTGAAGTGCTAAAAGTTCTCTGATGTCCAAAATATACTGCAGATACATCACAGTTAAATCCAGTGAACAACTTCCAAAATGTCTACATTGACATTAGGGTTTCAAACTGTGTGCTTTATCTCACTATTACCTGTGGTCCTCTTAGAGAGTCAGAATCACCTGGAATGCTTTCAGGTTGCTTGTGCTTTGTTTGTTTAATATAAACGTTCTGGTCTCACCTCCAAACCACTAAATTCGAATTTAGAGACCCAGGCTAGTTAAGGAGGCAAATGAGGCAGTCACTGAATAACCAAGACGAAGTTAAAAAAAAAAAGTTTCAAGATAAAAGGGGAAAAAAGTAGTATCACTTGTCTTAACAGGATGAAGAAGGAACTTAGAAAGCTAGGTTGAATTGGGGAAGCTGTTCAAGTACCTTCCAATTGATAATGTTTTTGAGCCACCATTGTAAAATCAAAAAAGACCTTGAAATGCATTTGGTTTATTGTTAATTGAGGAATCTTACATAAGAATAAGTCCTTCTACATGGCCTGGGTCAGGAGGTCCGAATGGAAAGCACTGACCACAGATGGACTAGAAGATAATACTTTTAAACACATGTCCAAGGAGTCTGGTGGGTATTTATCTTACTGCCAATGGATCAGAAATTTGGTATTTTATCAACAACAATAAAAAGTATATGCACGTGTGTGTGTGTGTGTGTGTGTGTGTGTGATCAAAATGAGCATATAGCAAACAACAGCAGGTCATTAATTAGAATTAGTTTATTTTTTATATGCCTATTTTCACTTGTGTAATTTAATATTCTAAAATGCCAATCTTGAGGCTGGCGATATAGCTCAGTTGGTAGAGTGCTTGCCTCGCATGTACAAGGCCCTGGATTCAATCCCCAGCACCACAGGGGAAAAAAAAAAAAAAAAAAAAAAAATATATATATATATATATATATATATATATATATATATATATATATATGACAATTTTTAAAAATTAAGTTACACTTAAAAATTTTTTAAAGGAAAATGCCAATTTTATAAATTTGAGATAAGATAGGGAATTCCTTGAGAGTCATAGAAAAATATAGCCACACACTACACGCTCATTTTTTTTTCCTTCTGCTCAAACACAGTTATTTAGGGGAATATCCATAAAACAGTTTTAAGGCACTGCTGTGTGCAAGGTATGATAACAAAATCAGGTGTTAAGTGTTTCTCATTTCCATTGCCATCATGCATTTTTAACTGCTGAACAAATAAGAAAGTTCTGCCATATCCTTTAAATAGCTATATATTTACCAGAAGGCAAATTGGGATAATCAGAATGATTTCACCCCACTTTATCATCCACCTCTAAATCAACTTTAAGTAATCTTGTACCTCCTGTTACTTATAACTACAGACAAGACAGTAATTTAACACCTGCTCTCTCACTTTTCACACCATTACAAAAGAGAAGGCACAGTGTTTATTTTACAGAATCATCTGCTGGTAACCGTAAGACATTAGGTTCTCAGACTCCCCCATCTGTATTGGAAATGGAGAAGGGAGGCACACCCACAAGTATCTGGTGCTCTTTTGGAAGCATGTTTGTAATAAATGAAACTAGAATTTTGTTAATTTTATTAATCTCTTCGTTCATAACCTAAACTGTAACTCAAGAATAGAAAGTACTTTTTCAGGTGCAGGTATTCCCATATGCATAGGAAGATCAAATTTATGTTTACACCTCCAGGCCTGCCAGCACCATTTACAACTTAAAACTGTAATGAGGGCAAAATGTGACACGAATCATCCTCCCCAAATAATTCTTGTGGCATGAAAGAGGCTGTCTTACAAACACACACAGGGAAAAGGGTACTTCCACAATACTGTTTATGCCTACGGCATTTGAGTGCAAATCTTGGAGTGGTAAGCAAGACTGTGTAAGCATGTGTACTAGCAAGCCCCTGCAATCGTCCAGTGAGAAGAAAATTTATTCAATAACACTCACCAAAACACCTTCAGCTACTTTGTAAAATGTAAAGCTTTTTCAAAGTTAACAATGTAATCAGAAATTTAATTTTATTATGTAACAAGCACTTGAAGATCAACAGAATTGCACAAACACACATCCATGCCTTCTTTTAAAAATATTTTTTTTAGTTGTTGATGGACCTTCATTTTATTGATTTATATGTGGTGCTGAGAATCGAACCCAGTGCCTCACACATACTAGGCAAGTGCTCTACCACTGAGCTACAACCCCGCCCCGGACACATTCTTTTAACCCAGCTCCAGTTAGTAAGCAAATCATTTTCTGGTAAGAAATTAAGCCTTTCTGGCCGATGAGTTAACATTTATTGATGGATTTACAAATGGTACTCAGAGAAAGCTTTAGGAGACAATGTTGAGGCAAATTCATTTCACATACCCTCCCTGTCAAAAACTTCCCCTCACTGCCCACAAACTAAAGAGAAGGGTCTAAACTGCTCTTCCTGGAGTTCAGGGGTATGACAAACAGACCAGCCTCTTTCGAGTGTTCCCATCTTAAAATCAGAAGCCTGTATTCAGGGTAAGACCTCAACACACCCTTCCCTGGGCCTTGCTACCTGTCTGCATCCTGACCATCAAGGCCTGAGCCCAGCCATGTTGTCCTCCCCTGAATGTTTCTCTCTTCTCTGAATCCCTGTAGGCTATATACTGTTATTCCAGGGGCTTACAAACTTCATCACAGATCCCTAGTGGAATGAATCCAAAATAATTTTCCTACATACATATAAATATACCATAGTGAATCCCACCATCATGCACATCCATAAGAATAGGGTCCTAATTAGAATAAGATGCATTCCATGCTTGTATAATTATATCAAAATGAATTCTACTGTCATGTATAACTAAAAAGAACCAATAAAATAGAATAAGTAAAAGGTTTTAAGCACTTATCCCCCAATGGATTTATTTTCTGTACAAATAAGGTGTGTACTATTAGTGTCACTCACACAGTTCACAACTAATCATCAGAAAATCCTGTTGGTTCTACCACCCAATCATATCCAGTATCCAACTCCTCTTCACCTCTATTTCTAACACTCTGGTCCAAGCCACCATCATTGCTCATTTGGGAAATTGCTCTAGGCTTTCCAACTGGTATCCCTGTTTCTTCCCTTAACTTCTGCACTGTATATTCTCAACACAGCAGGCTTAATAATCCTCCAGAAACATGAGCCGGATGTTGGTTCTTCCTTGCTTACACCCTTTGATGGCTTCCCATCTCATTCACAGTAAAAACCAAAGTCCTTGCATGGTTACCAGGACCTACCCACACATTTATTTGCATGGCCTCCCCACTGTCTCACAGATTATTAACTGTCATTCTCCTTGTTTCTTGGGCTCCTGTCTTACTGACCTTCTTGCTCATTCATCTTCAATCTTCCAGGAATATCCTCACCTGAGGGCCTTACCACTTGCTCTGTGGGTGTGCACACACACATGAATGTGTGTGTAGTGGATGCTCCTCCCCCACAGCCACATGGTTCATTTCCTTACTTCCTCCAGCTAGTTACACAATCATTTCCTTTGCTGAGGTCTTATTTGGCTACCCTAACCATAAACTGAAAACTCTTTCCCCAATTCTTCCCATCCCTTTCCCTGCTTCAATTTTCTTCTTAGCATATATTACCACCTAACACACTATGTATTTCCTTTTTCATCTTGTTTATCATCTGTGCTCCCCATCTGGAATATAAGCTCCTCAAGAGCAAGGATTCTTGCCAGTGTTCACTGCTGTGTCTCTAGTTCCCAGATGATATAGGAGGCACACAACCCAGATTGACTCAGTACTCAGTACTTATTTCTCCCATTGAGTTTATGCTATGAGTGACTATATCCTCCAAAAGTTTATGTGGAAGCTTGGTCCCAGTGTGGCAGTATTGAGACATTAGGTATTTGGAAGCATTTGCAAGGTTGGGTCATGAGGGCTCTGCCCTCAGAAGTGGATTAATCCATTCATGGATTAATGGTTAATGTGGGAGTTTTAGAAGTGAGTGTTCTCTTCCTACCACCTCTCTCCTGCTCTGCCTCTCTGTATGATACTCTTCACTCTTCACCATGTTATAATGCAACAAGAGTGTTCTCACCAATTCCTAAAATAAAATTAGGAATAGAATCACCACATGACCAGCTATCCCACTGATTGGTATTTATCTGAAAGAACTAAAATGAGCGTACTATAGCAATACAATATTTATAGCAGCACAATTCACAATAGCCAAATTATGGAATCAGCCCAGATGTCCATCAAGATGAATGCATCAAGAAAACGTGGTACATATACACAATTGAGTTTTACTCAACCATAAAGAGGAATGAGATATTGTGCGGCGGCGCCGGCGGCCGCGGCGGCTGATACCTGAGTCTCGCTCCCGCCGCGGCCAGCGGAGCCCCGGGCTGGGGTAGGAGCCGGAGGCAATAACAGATGGCCTGGAGATTGTGGTTTCACCTAGAAGTCTACACAGTGAATTAATGTGCCCAATTTGTTTGGATATGTTGAAGAACACCATGACTACAAAGGAGTGTTTCCATCGTTTTTGTGCAGATTGTATCATCACAGCCCTTAGAAGTGGCAACAAAGAATGTCCTACTTGTCGGAAAAAGCTAGTTTCCAAAAGATCACTCAGGCCAGATCCAAACTTTGATGCGCTCATCAGCAAAATTTATCCAAGTCGCGATGAGTATGAAGCTCATCAAGAGAGAGTATTAGCCAGGATCAACAAGCACAATAATCAACAGGCACTCAGTCACAGCATTGAGGAAGGACTGAAGATACAGGCCATGAACAGATTACAGCGAGGCAAGAAACAGCAGATTGAAAATGGCAGTGGAGCAGAAGATAATGGTGACAGTTCACATTGTAGTAATGCATCCACACATAGCAATCAGGAAGCAGGCCCTAGTAACAAACGGACCAAAACATCTGATGATTCTGGGCTTGAACTTGATAATAACAATGCAACAGTGGCAATTGATCCAGTAATGGATGGTGCTAGTGAAATTGAATTAGTATTCAGGCCTCATCCCACACTTATGGAAAAAGATGACAGTGCACAGACAAGATATATAAAGACTTCAGGTAATGCCACTGTTGATCACTTATCCAAGTATCTGGCTGTGAGATTAGCTTTAGAAGAACTTCAAAGCAAGGGAGAATCAAACCAGATGAACCTTGACACAGCCAGTGAGAAGCAGTATACCATTTATATAGCAACAGCAAGTGGCCAGTTCACTGTATTAAATGGCTCTTTTTCTTTGGAATTGGTCAGTGAGAAGTACTGGAAAGTGAATAAACCCATGGAACTTTATTACGCACCCACCAAGGAGCACAAATGAGCTTTTAAAAACCAATTTTGAGACTGAACTTTTTTATAGCCTGTTTCTTTAATATTAAAGATGTACCATCATTACTTTTATGGACAGATCTTGGATATGTTGTTCAATTTTTCTTTCTGAGCCAGACTCGTTTACACTTTTAGAATCATTTCCCCTTAATTTAAGATTTACTTTTTGGAAGGGACTATAGTTATTCAGTACTTTTGCTTTCCTTTGAAGAATATATCTAAGTTGTGTGCTTTCACAAAGTATGGTTCCATTGGGAGCACCTTTGACCTGGGAATTTTTCATAGTTCTGTATTCTTAAGTGAAGATTCAGTTGGCCGTCCCTTTCCGTCTCCCCTCAAAAGTTTTTTAGGCCTACAGATTGTTAATATGTATTCTGACTTTTTTCCCTTGTGTATATTTATAGTTTTCTATATAAACTGTAGTATCTTCATGAAGACTGAGGCTCAAACTTACTGTGCTTAAAAACAATTCTCATAGGATTATTATTTTCATGGTATTTTCTTCCATAATATCTCGTTTTTAAAAGAGGTTCTTTATGAACTTGGTGTCCACTGTCATGCAATGTTATTTTTTTTTTCCTTTTTTCCTCCCTGTAAGTTTAGATGTTCTGGTCTTGGGGAAGAGAATCAAAACCTTAAGTTCTATGAGCACATGGGTCATTGACATATTTCACTGAAGAAAGAAAAATTAAATTGATAGTAATACGTAGTCCTCAATTGTTTATTTAAGCTTTTTGTATTAGTTCCCACTGTCACTTTAGTTCCTTTATTATGTGTTTGATGTTTTTTTACCCTATTAAAATATCATAAATATGGAGATATTTTGCACTTTAGCCTTGATGAAAAGTACCAGATATGTTCAAAGCTTCCCTAATTCTTTTCTTATTGGTAGCCACATAAGTTTTGAGAACAATGTGGTACATGGAAAAAATAGGTTTGCTTCTGTTTGAAAAGTGTGCTTAGCATTTTAAGTTGCTATACCAGTGTATAAATTTGGTGCTCTGCTAATTATACTCTGTAGAAGCAGATTAATGGAGCTTAAGCCCTGCTTTGATAAATAGTGAAAGGTAATTCTGTAGAAGAATGTCAGCCACTACAACAGGGTGAAGTTATTCTACTCTTACTAGTTTTATATTACGGGACAGTGTTGACTAGGAGCCAGAAGGCTTTATGCTAACAGGTCAGAAAAAATATTGACTTATATGTTATTTTCATTCCTGTCCTGATTGTAGGTATGTTTTAAATTTTATATTATCCACAGTATTTACAAAGACATGTTTTTCATTGAGAAATTAACCCCAAAGGGTTTTGAGAGGAGGGAGTAGACCTCCAATACCAATGTAACTAAAGTCTGTCTAGTCATTGTAAATATTTATCTGTCAATTTTGACAGATTGGGGCCAGCTTGATGTTTTAAATCTTGAGTATAAAAATTTAAAGGCTTATTCAATTTTTTACCATTTTATTGAATATATTTGAAATCTGTTTTTATAGTTTTTTTGGTAATTGTGCCATGAAATTTGAAAGCCACCAAAAATTAAGAGAACTTTTATAAATTCCTTTTCTGGTGTAATGTTAAGTTGTATAGATTATTAATGCATGTCCAATGAATATAACCCTGGTTTTGTGATAAATCTGCTTAGATTTTATTGGTGACATGTTAGATTAGTGGTTGCATTAAATAACTAAATTCCCATTGTGGTTATTAATTGAAAAAAAAAAGAGGAATGAAATAATGGCATTTGCCAGTAAATGGATGGAAATGGAGAACATCATGCTAAGTGAAGTAAGCCAGACTCAGAAAATTAGAATTGAATGTTTTCTCTTATATGTGGAAGCTAGGGCAAAATAAGGGAAAGAAGGTGGCTGGGGTGGAGAGAATTGGATATCATAAATATATAGGGAAGATTGGTAGAGTGGAAGGCTGAGAACAAGAGAGATGAAGAACAGATGGGAAAGGGGAGGAAATATGGAAAGAATTTAACAAAATCAATGCATATATAAATGTACCAAAGGAAATTTCACTTTTATGCATATGTAGAACCTACCAATCAAAAATAAATAAAGGAATGAAAGGAAGATCAGTGGAATAAAGGAAGGAGAATAGGAAGGGGAAGGGAGGAAGGAAAATGGAGAAATTGGGATTGAAGTCAAATTTCTTGCTGTTATGATTTTGTCAAAATGAGCCCAACTGCTATGTATAATTATGTAATAATAATAATAATAATAATAATAATAATAATAATAATAATAGAATGCACTCACCAGATGCCACCTACACAACAGCACCATGCTCTTGGATTTTCCAGCCTCCAGAACCATGAGCTAAATCATCCTCTATTCTTTATAAACTACCTGGTCTCCAGTATTTTGTTACAGCATCAGAAAATAGACTTGAGACAATCAGTGAACATTCTACTATCATAGATGTCAGTGATAAAACTCTCCTTGATGTACATCATTTCTTAAGGTCTCGGCTAGTAACAGTGGACATCAATTCCTATTTCACATAGTGAACTTGATAATTCCATGTTTTTTGACTATGTCTCATAAGATGATTATACATACTATTCTTGGTTTTCTCTCATGACATAGAGCTTGTACTGAAAGTTTGGAGTATTCAATGAACTAGTAATATAAATATAAATTGAAGTTCCAATCTTTTCTTCCTGCGCACCCCTATGGATCATCTCATATGACCCCATCAGGACACACACTCCCCTTTGAGAGGACACTGAATTGTTCCATTTATTTGCAATTCAATATGACCTGCTTTTTACTTCTACTTATCTTTTCAAATGTTTGTGTCCTATGTTTTCAAGTAACTCTTAGTCCTCAACAACAAAAACCACATCCTACAAAATACCATCTAATGGTTAAAGCACACCCTCCAAAACCATGTCTCCAAATCCCAGCTCAAATTTTCGGTCTTTAGCAAGTTGCTTAACATCTCTGAGCCTTGGTTTTCCTCATCTGTGAAGCTGAGATGAAAAAGTACTTGCTCACAGAATAATCACAGGCACTGAATAAGCTAACACTTAAGAGCATATGGAATATCTGGCATTTAGTATATTTAGTAATAAGGGCCATATAAGAATAAGCTGTCTGTTGTAACTATTTTATATTACCTAATGCAATTTACTGCTTGGGCATGGGAGGCATTCAGTAAATGTTTATGGATTGACTACAAATCACCATCAAAAAGTAACTGTGCCCCCTATTTCCTATCTGATGCCTCTGGTTCCTCCTTTGTCTGGATCTGCTTCCTCCCAACCCTGGCAAGACCTATAAGTTCCACTTCAAAGGAATGCCCCATCACTTGCCATTCATCACAGACTTAGATAACCGTATTTGTCTGCTTAGGTTGCCACAACAAAAACACACTGCCTAGGTGGCCTAAACAACATTTTGTTTCTTGCTGTTCTGGAGGGTAAAAGTCCAAGATCAAGGCATAATCGGAGTTCATTTCTCACGAGGCCTCTCTTTCTGGCTTGTCAATGGCCGCCATCTTGTTGTGCCCTCACATGGCCTCTTCTCTGTGTTCCCAGGGAGAAAAAGTGAGCTCTACATCTCCTCTTCTTATAAGGACACCAATCCTATCAGATTAGAGCCCCATCTTTGTGACCTCAGTTCATTTTAATGACCTCCCTAAAGGTCCTATCTCCATCTATAGTCACATTGGGTGTTCAGGCTTCAACATATGAGTTCTAGGGGGGACACATCAGTCCATAACAGATATCAAATGAACTGAGGTCATCTCATTCTTCACTCTTTTCTCTTGCTATCACTTTACTGCTCATCCAAGTTTCCCCTCCCCATGTTGACACTGACCCTCTGCCATACCTGGCCTCCCTTAACCTTGGGCATTATTTCTTTCCCGACTTTTCTTACATCTCATTTGCCCAGTCAATAAGGCAATGGCTTCTAGTAGTCTCACTTCAGGCTTGACCCTGTCCGGAGTCTCTACTTTCTGAGTGCTGGAAACATGGTCATTCTTGTGTTAGTCAGCTTTTCCTCATTGTGACCAAAATATCTGATAAAAACAACTTAGAGAAGGGGGCTGGGGTTGTGGCTCAGTAGGAGAGCACTTGCCTAGCACAGGTGAGGCACTGGGTTTGATCCCCAGCACCACCATAAAAATAAATAAATAAAGGTATTGTGTCTGTCTACAACTAAGAAATATTTTTTTTTCAAAAAACAACTGAGAGGAGAAAAATTTTTTATTTCTGGCTCACTATTTCAGTTCATGATCAGCCAATTGGATTGCTGTGGGCCCAAGACGAGGTAGAACAACATGGCAGAAGGGTGTGACAGAGGAGCATAGCTCTATTTATGTTGGGGTTAGAAAGCAGGGTAGGAGGTGGGGGAGCAATCTCAGAGAAGATGAATGTTTCCAGGTCATGTTGCCAGTGACCCAACTCCTCCAACCATACTCCACCACCTATAGTTACCACCCAGTTAGTCCATTCAAACTAGGATGGACTGAGTAGGTCACAGCTCTCATAATCCAATCATTTCACCTCTGAATATTTTTGCATTTACGCAACAGCTTTTGAGGGATGCCTCAAATCCAAACCATAACAATTCCATATTATTTCTTTCCAGAAATAAAAATTCTTTGTATTGCTTGGCCTACAGCTAGCTCAGTGACCCAAAATGTGCTATGCTATCCATCCTTCAAACCCCAGCTTTTTAATAAGGCCTCCCCTGACCTATACAGATCACTGAAATGTTTGTCTTCAGAACTCACATCAAGTATTATCTGCATTTTTTTTTTTTTTTTTTTTTGGTACCAGGTACTGAACCCAGGGGCACTTAACCACTCAACCACATCCCCAGGTTTCTTCATTTCTTTATACTGAGAGAGGATCTCAGTAAGTTGCTGAAGGCCTTGCTAAGTTGCTGGGGCTGGCCTCAAACTTAAAATCCTCCTGCCTCAGCCTCCCAAATCACTGGGATTACAGACATGTGCCAGACTCTAATTTTTTTTTTTTTTTTTTTTTTTGGTGGTGCTGGGGAACCAGGCTGTATTTTGCTACATACCCTGTGTCACTTATTTTCTCTTCCCAACTAGGCTAGACACATCTCAAGGGCAAGCAACATGAACTGTACTTTTCTGAATCTCCCCAAAACCTTAGGTGCAGAAACACAGACACAGGCAGCACTGAAGTCAGTGTAGTGCAGGGAATATGAGCAAAAGGCCCTGGAGTCAAACTGCTTTATTAGATCCCCAATCCCCATATCTGGGCAATGGCAACAGTCACTTAACCTCCTGGAGCCCACACAGAATTATGTACATATAATTCTTAGCACATAGTAAACACTGAAGAAATATTAATTTATATTTTATATATTCAATGATTACCTATTTATTCTCTAATAATATTATTGTATATCAATTTTGTATAGACTGCATATATTATTTTACAGAATACATACTGAGCACCTTTTGATCATCTTTTAATAAAGATAAATTTAGAAATTATCCTTCCTGAAAAAAAAATTGAAAACAAATTATCCTCCCTGGAGTCAATATTTTTGAGCTAGGAGTTAGTTATTATGTTAGACAGATGGGAGTAGGAAAAGAGAACAGGAAGACCATCCTTTCCTCACAGAAGGGTCAGTATGATGTCTCATTCTGAAGTTAAGCATGTACTGATACCTGTTATTATCCTTTTAAAAATACTTCAAGATTTTTTTCTAAACCCTACAAAATATAACCTGAATTATATTATAAACAGATTCCCAAGAACACAAAAAATAGATCTCCTAGAAATCACCCACAGTCTCTACCACTCATATAATAACAGTAATCATAGTACAGGTTGA